GGGAGGGAGTTTATGTATGTGTGCATCCATCACTCCCTTTTCCTCCGTTTTCTGCTCCCTGAGACGGCACCACTATCTTCACTCGACTCTCCAGACGCGATGCTCCATTGAAGCAGTGGCAATTATCGTGGAGGAAAAGAAAGTGAGCACGTCATGAAAATGAATGAGACTTTTTGCGTAGCTATAGGTTTTAGAAGGTATACGCTCTGATCGACTTCAACAGAAACGAAAAAGAAAACTTTTTGATACTATCGAGAAGTGCCAATATTTTCAAATTTCTTTCAACGAGGTTTATTATACGTCCTTTTTGCGGCGCCTCCACTTGTGGGTTGACTGGAGGAGGCCAGAGCAATTCCGGGAACAGAGCCAGGCTGTTCAAAGATGGATGTTTGTGCTTTGTTTGTGGCTCTGGAATGCAACTCAGCGTCTGAAAGTTGCGGGTAATTGCTATATATACTGTGGGTTTCTTTCGTTCCGCAACGATGCCCGCTGGACTGCTCCCGCATTCCCTGCCACCCACAACTAGTACATATCACAGGGAGGACTTTAATTGCCTGAAGAATGGAATACCCAGGAGGCTTTGTGTATTCAATTTTCCCACGGCACGTAGGGCACGTTTTAGCACCCTCCACGCATGCCTGGCAAAATATATGGCCACATATAAACACCTGTATCGGATTTTGGAAGGAGTCCAGACACACTTGACACGTAAGGGCCTCTGGGGGGTTGGCTGCTTTGCAGCAGGACATCAATTCTCTGGAAGTATGTATGTATGTATGTATGCGTCACCAGAGTGGCTACACATAAAATGCATCAGAGAAGATCAGCCAGAAGAGAGAAACAAAACCCCCAAGAACAAAAAAAAATTGTCTTGACAAAGGTGAACGACAGAACAGAGCAGCAACAAGTGGTTGGTTAGTAGAAAAGAATAGGGGAAAGTGCGCAACATATATATATATATATATATATATATATTCAATGGATAAAGAGCTCTAGACGCACAAGTTTCTGTCATCACAGCAATCAAGGCGAATAAAACGAAAACAACAAAAAAAAGAAATGAGAACAATGTTTACGCAAAGCGCAACATCTTTATCGATTTGCTTTCCCCAAAGGCTCCAGGAGGCGAGTGCATGTACAGCGATGACCAGTTTGTCCTCATGGCCCATTGCTCCATCTGCCACGTTGAGTGTAGCCGCTTCACGACGATTGGGTGTGGAGTCGGCAAAGCGCCCACAAGCGTTGTGCTGTGTATTGTCGAGAGAGGATCCTTGCCTGTTGCTGCTGCGTTCGCGACGACGCCTTCAACAGTTGCAATGGCAGCCCTGAGTGTCTCGATAAGGAACGGCGAGGGGAGACCAGTGTGGATGGCACCAGGCCCCTCTGCCGCAAACACTGCCGCCAATTCATTCACTAGACTCTTCCGTTCCACGAAGACGGTAAGAAGCGGTGCTGCGCCCGCCTCTTGATACTGCAGCACACTGGCGATAGCTTCCACTATACTGCACATGACGATATGGTCTGCCACCACCTGGTCGTCATCTACGGGGACCAATGTCGTCTGCAGAGAGCTTTTATACGCCAGACACTTCGTCGCCACAGAGGCAAACACAATACTCAACTTCTTTGAAACGGTCAAACTAACGCTCTTCAGGAAGGGTGCAATGTTCGTTATGATTGCACTACAGGTTACGTGAAAAGGACGTATCAAATCATCACGCATAAGCAGAAACGAACACATCATAATAATAATGAGATCAGCGTATGACCCTTTGAAGGCATCGAATTCAAACGGAATACTCTCGCGGAAAGGCGCATTGCACTGCAGACAAAATGGACGATTCCCAGTAAGGCGCATGAAAATGAACAACACGAGCTCAAGGTGGGGAAAGAAATGTGGATCCCTTCTTGCATTGAGAGCGTAGTCAACGAGGGGAAGCAGGTACCCTAACACCGCCGGCTCTCGTCCGAAGGCCGCAAGGCATTCAGGAGAGAGCTCAATGAGCCGCCAGAGCACCATCATGAATTCGTCTTGAGTTAGAAAACACCGCTGAGAATCCGGTAGATATGTTCGATTTGCGTACAACTTAAGGCCAATGATCGGTTGGAAGCGCACCACAATGCACCGAGCCTCTTCAGCTGTGATTTTATGAATAAGTTCTCTCGCGCTATGGACAACTTGCACACGTGACGACGTGGCAGTTCTTCCTACAGCCTCACCATTTTTCCCTGTCGCTGCATTGCTGCTCAATGCGTTGGTTTCATTGCCCGCAGGGACACCAGCAACCGAGGTTGGCGGGGCCTCATCGAGTGGGGCGCCCGGGTAGCACAAGATAGCACCCAGGAATCGCGCGCTCATCTGCGTCACCAACTCCTTCGCCCCCACCCAATGACTTGTGTAAGGGAGGGAGCCAAAAGGATTGTACGACAAGATTGTGTTCAGAGAAGACGCCACCAGCGTTGGTAATAGAGGCACTGTATCAACACTCAACAACGGCTCAGTGAAGATTGTGTCTCTGCTGCCAGGAGGCAAGAAAAGTGGGTACGCCAGGAGAGCCACGAGTGTGTACAAAATTTCGTATCGAATGGTATGCATGGTGGAGTTCACCTCCGTTGTCTGCTCTCCACCAACGCCTGGGTACCACAGGAGGGACTGATCAACATAAGGGTGACTCGGAGATAGATCTGTCGGAGCAGCATTTTTGTCTAGCGTCAAACCTCTAATAAAGCAGCAGTCAATCAATACACAGCCCATAAATTTACCTAGGGGCAATTCTTGGCCGGGGAGAGTCGGCAGCCGATGTTCCGGCCTTTCGTCATCACATGCAAGGTTTTCCACAAAAAATGACTGCACAAACGTCTTGGTGAATTGCGTTCGCGACCGCCTTGTGGGCGCTTCTCCATTTGCGGAGCCCACATCCGGACTCTGGGTTAAACTTACTGTGTCAGCAGTATCAGGACTTTCCTCATCGCACGGCGTGTTACCGCTTTCCATGGCGATGGGAAGCATTCTTCTCATTAGCCGAAGTGCATTCTGTAATTTTTGTGCTTCGGCAGAAATGTTTCTTTCGTCTCTCTTGAAATCAGTGGTCAGAACCTTTGCGACAACTTCGATGCACTTAAACAACAACTGCGCAAAATTCCTGGTGTAACAATGTCGCATGCTTCTCAAAACGGTCAGAGGAACGGCGCGTTCCAACTCACTATTAGAAAGCTCTGTGCCCAGCAGCAACGCAAAAGCGTCATCATGTATAGTCGTCTCCGTCAACATAGAGCGTAGTGCCCTTCCCACATCGAGTGTCGAACTAGATGTCCCCATTGCCACGATGTATGAATCTACCTGTGATGTTTTTTTTTGTTCAGACAGAAACCGAAAGGATAGTGCGTACGCAAAAAAGAGGGCAACAAAGACCTAAGTCCAAAGAAGGGGACCCAGAGAGAGAGAGAGAGAGAGAGAGAGAGAAAGACAACGGAAATAAAAAGGGATGCGACAAATCAACAGTGGCAATGCCACATACCTACTGATATGCGTGCCGAGGTCCCAAATTCTGTTTCTTCCCCACCCGCCCCTCACTCCAGGTTGACGGGCGCATATGTCCCCACCTGATCACACATGAGTTTAATCGCTTCCCCGCAAGATACACGCTGAGCCGGCTCTATGTGCATCAAACTTAATAGCAAAACAATACTGTCACCAGTAATACTGGCACTTAGCGTCTCCCAGTCAATACAACAATGGGAATCGGTAGACTGACGCACTGAACATGCAAGTAGTTGACAAAAAATGCCCCCGATGGCGAAAACATCCCACTTCTTGACATCCCCAGCCCGAATCGATAGCGATGGCACCACTGAGCATGCACACAGAGCCTCACCAAGCTCTGGGGCCACGTACGCAACAGCTGCTCGAGGTGTTGCTACTATAATTGAGTCATCAACGTCGTTAATTCCCGGAGGGCCTAAAGAATCCGCTGCCATGGAGCCCAGCTGCACGTGCTGGTGCGAGCCAACAGCTGGTATGGAAAAGCCAACCGACCCTTCCATTGTCACACCACTGGGGCTCACACCACAACCAGAGTGACACAGCGTTTCCAATGTAGATTGTGAAAAATTTCGGGATCGTCTCGCGGCTTCTTGCAGCTGAGCCTCTCGCTCACGTGCTAGCTTAGCATATATGCCTGCCATGCGCAGCAATCCAATGTCCACCGGAATAGAAAGCGGCGGTGGCCGTGAGATTTGCCTGGCGGCATGCGAGGGTGTTGGAGCAGTGGTAGTACTGTCCTCCTTGACTTCAAAATCTCCAGAGTCTCGAGGCAGAGCCGATAGAGATGGCTTCTGGAGTTGTTGTTGTTGTTGTTGCTGCTTCTGCTTCTGCTGTTTCTTCCACAGGCTTTGCAGGTACGACGAATGAAGAGATGATTTCAAGAAGCGTGTATGATGAAAATGGAGCACACGGATATCCTCAATATTGTCATCGGCGACGAAAAGCGCATCCGGTGATAGTTCTCGGTGAACAACATGAAGCTCGTCATGGAGACAACGTACTGCCTCCAGCACTCTAGCAATGATCAATCGGCTTTCTGCCTCTCCAATCATGCCGCTCCGCATGAGGGTTGAGAGGGGCTGATACCTTTCCGGTGGTAGAAGCTCCATCACCAATACGATGAAGTCTCGTGTCTGAAACGCGCTGTGAAATGACATGAAGAACGCTGGGAACGCCGAAGCCGCAATGCGGATGTCAATGCCTTGCTGCAGTCTTTGCCACATTCGACGTGAGAACATCTGCGACTTAGGTATCAGCTTTAGGGCATGCGTCGTACCAGTGAGACGATCCACACCACGGAGGACAATACTCCTGCGACTCGCGTGCAAGATGTCGTACGGGTCCTTCCACAGGTACTTCTCCTCCAAACTCTTGACATACTCGTAGGGGAGGGGCAGGACGCTGTGGAAGCGTGTGCATACCCGCAGCAGACGATCCTGATTCTTGTAGGTGAGAAAGAGCATAATGTAGCGCAGAATACCGTCGCTCAGCGAGAGAAGAGGAGACCCACATGAGAAGCAGCAGCGTGGTGCTCGCAGGGCCGAGAAAGCTATGCACGACAAAGGCCAACTGGTGGTCCATTGCCCCAACGGCAGCGGCTTGGAACAGTGCACGCACAAATAATATCGGCAGTGCACACACGGCGTGACTGGCTGCAGCAACGAACCGGTACGAAGACACTTTGAACACGTCTTGTGTTCGTAGTCACTGCTAGTATAAGAGTATATAAGACCCATACCGTATCGTGAGCCACCGGCCCGCTACTGGAACAGACTACTTTTTTGATGACGATTGATCGAGCTTATAAGAAAATTTGTGCGAATATAGAGAAAATGGGGAAATATTGAGGAAGAAGTAGTAGTGGTGGTGGTGGTTGGGAGGCTCCCTTCGCTTCCACAACAGTCGTAAGATAAACCGCCATTTATCGTACGAAACGACAACTCCAAGTTTGTGAGAGCAAACCTTACATCTTTGGTACATCACAGTTAGTACACCTGTTCCTCCAGCCGAAACGACGGGTACACTCGCTTGCGCCGCAGCAGTCGCTCCTTCTCGCGTGCCGCCCGTATCTGTGCAATTGTTTGACGTGCCCTGTATCTACGATAGGCACATTGGATGACCACCGCCGCCTTTTGCTGGCGTTGCTGCCGTGCCTCCACACATTTTCGCATGGTCTGCAACAGGTGCTGCTGCAGTTGGCCCCTTTGGGCTCGACGAGCCACATGCCCTCGAAATGCACTCTGTATAATTGTAGCACATGTGTTAAATACTGCCGCACGACAGCAGTTCCGACCATAGCATCGCTTTGCGTAAACTGTGCGACCGTAGACACGCCGTACGAGATATCCACGAAATGTCTTCTGAATGAGTGTTGCATAGTACTCTCTAGAGCATTTGTAGTGGTGAAGTATGAAGCGCTTAGTCTGCCCCTCATCACACCACTTCTGAAGGAGATATGCATGACGTCGGTACGCACGTTGAATCTGCGTGGCGGCGAACTCGCGTTTTTCTTTCGTCCCATTTTCTGCACGTGTGCCCAACTCATCTTCTCGCCATGCAAAGTATTGACGGCGTGTGACGCGCCCACGGTATATGCTTTGAACTGTCACAACACGCTTAATATTCGCCTGACGTTCAGCTTGAAGCCTTCGCAATTCCTTAACTGCTAGCCATCGTCGCACATACTTCTGCAGCGTGACCGACGACTTTTCCTCAAAGTGTTTGATCCTCATATTCTTATCGATAGGCCCCTGAATCTGGTGGTGGCTCCGTGATACAAGTCGAAAGAAACGGACTATGCGCCGCGCACTAGCATTCTCTAATGCCGTACGTTTTGCCCTATTCTCTTTTATGGTCACCTTCAGTTTCATGATGTCCTGTGCGAGATTGAATGCGGTGAGAGTTTTCTTCACAACCATGGTTGCTTTCCATTTTTCTTCGAATGCGTTCTCAGCTCGCAGGAGCGCCATTAGCCGGTGATTGAGCAGTTTCTTAACACCAGTAACGCCACGCTCCGCGTCCTCAATTGCTTTCTCAGACAATGGAGGTGGCATGAAAGACTTCAGTGCATCCACTGTCATAGTTGACTCCATGATGCCTCGTTTTGGTTTGATCGGTGGCAAAATAATCCTGTCTTCATATCGTGGGGCAAACACAGACCACACCGTTCGCCTCACAGGCGTGGAATTCTCCCGCTCTCTCTCATCTGCAACCTGCAGCGGCGTTTCCTCCCACAACAAAATCATGGCAACACTGCTTGAGGACACACCTTGAAGTAAGGCAAAAGGCGATTCAAGGTCCTGACCCTTTCCGAACACTATGTGCCCAACCTCTGCAATACTGAGCAGTGGAACCACGGCTCCTGTCAAACCCCTCGCTCGAATCGCTCTCCACACCTCTTCACTGATTGGGGGAAACTCCACGGGCTCATCGCTGCCATCTGCTGCCAGGGTTGAGATACGCTTCTTAGACTTTCTGCTGCGACTTTGGGGCTTCACGGAGGACCGCTGAACTGTTGCATTCTTTGCGGCCCTTCCTTTGCGACGATTTGACACTTCCGCCAACCTGGCAGCTTCCATTTCTTCCTCGATGGCCTCTCGTTTTCGTGCTGCCTCTTCCCTGTGCCGTTGTACAATCGCCTGGAACCTCCTTCGGCTGCCTTCAATGATTGATGACCACTCCTGGTATGGGCTCGCGATGATACACTCTTTGGCTTGATTGTAGAATTTCTCTGCGTCCTGTGGGGCGAGGTATTCTTCTGCAATGGCCACATTGTGGTATGCAAATGCAAAAAGCAGTCCGTTCACATCCTCAGTGGCATCTAGACTGGTACATAATTTTCTTTCGCCTCCTCCGATGTCACCTTCGCCCTCTTGAAACAGTCCCATGGCAGTTAGTCGGATCTCAGGGAAGCAGCAGTTACGCACATGCAGCGCGCACATATTAAGCAGAACAATACGGGTCATCTCTATTGCAGGTGAAGCATATAGCGCTGCCTGGAGGAAGACAGCAGCCTCTTCTATTTCACCTGATCGCAGCAGGAGGCATGACCAGTTGTTTAGCGTTACAGATATGAGAAATGTGATGCCCTCATCATCCTGGTCTGGCACGAGTACCTCACTGACCTTATCAGCCTCACGGCTCCACTGTACCAAGCCTCGTCTCTCTAGCTGATAAAGGCATATGTGCAAATAATCCTTCGCTGCCCTGAGATCCGTTCCAACACACTTGACGCTGAGCGCGTTGCAGTGGAGCAGAAAATCTTTGAACAAGACATCCACTGGCACCACGTCACCAACCTCTTCAGATAAGGATTCTGCCGCAGTGGCACCTTCGGCATCATATAAGGCTCGCTCATAGGCCTTAATTGCGAGGAGAAACCTCGAGTTGGTGCACAGTCTCGTTACGGCCTGGAGGTAGCTCTCATCATCGGCTGCATCTGCCCCCCCTTCCTTCCCCCTCATGGCACCTAACCGCTTTTTTTTTTCAAAAAAAAGAAACACATTCACACACAGAGATTGAGAGCAGACACCACCACACACGCACCCCATCAAAAAAAAAAAAAAAACAGAAAGAATTATCGCAGAATTACATCGATTTACAGGGACACATAACATAATCAGTACTTCAGGGAATGGGGAACACGTGTCAAAACTCTGTCTTTAACTTTACAGATTCTCATGTGAAGATCTTGGTGTAATGAGTAGTTGGCGACGCCTTTGAGTCTCTTGATTCTCGCTCTTCTCATTGGAATTCCTTTTGAATCGATTGTTCATAAGCACAAAGTAGCTCTTTTTGTTTGGCTCTGCTTTTCCACAGTCGTCGGGTGCATGCTCCTTATGTAGAGACACTGCGCACCATTTAAGGAAGAGAACCACGTCTGAAATGTCATCTGTTTGCAAGACCCAAGTGTCATTGATTTCAAGGTACCGATCGAGTTCGGTGGAAGCGGCTAGAGGAGTACGATAGCACACAACAATCTTCATCGCACGACTGAAAAACAAAATATCATCCACGACTAACTCACCAAATCGCATTCCAATAGCATGAAAGGCCACTTTTCGTGTGCCCAACCGTGTGACTTCACGGTGCAACATTCGTGCGCTGTGCCAGGAATCAACTTTGAAAAGAACACCGACTTGGATACAGTTTCTAATTAGATCATCGTACTCTTCCTGTGATTTTGGTCGATTTTGAGGCTGTAGCTCTGCCCATGTAGTTTGCAACACAGCCTTTAGATCTTCGTCCATCATCGGCATCGTCTCATGGCATCCACGTTCCAACATAAGCTTGTCTTGAACATCTGTCTCCTCTGCGTTTTTCTCCCGTAGGTACTCAGCAATACTCTTTTCTAAGAGTTTCGGTGTGCCATCCGGTGAAATTTCTTGCTGAGTTGACTGTGAGTCCGGCTCCACCAGGACCGCAGCTTCTGGAGGCCCGTAGAGCAGCTGATACTCCAAGCAGAGAGTGTTTTTGAGCTGTCCGTAATCGCCGAGGTGTGAAAAGGACACGTTCATCCCTCTTGGGCGAAGAAGATGTAATCGATCAGGGAAACACTCAACAAACCACTGAAGCAAACGTCTGTACTCAAATACGCACACTCCTTCAGCTTCCGTAGGCATTGACAACAGATGCGTTCCCACACCAGGACATCCAGTAGTACTATGAACGTCTATGATTGTTACGGCTGTGCCAGGATCTGCCCTCTCCAGAGAATCGCCAAGGGCGTTTACCATGTAGTCTACACGTCCTTTCGTTTGATCTGCTACAAATGGAACTCCCTTTGTAATACAACCCTCCTTGACTATGACAGTGAGAACAAGACAATTTGTACTGGTCGGATTTGAACTCTTAACTTTTCTGCGTGCGGCGTTTAATGACGAGTTGATTCGCACGGAAATACTGTTTTGTTCGAAGCGGGCCTGTCGTTTCTCGGAAGCCGTATCTTCCCGTTTCTGGAGTCCTTGTAGACTTTTATTAACTCTAAACACCTCCTCATTAAACAGATGTTTCGAAGCCTCCAAAACAACAGCTTGCAACGAACAACTGTGTGATGCGTAATCCATACTCTTACTGTGACAGAGCGGTGGACACGTCAATGTCATAAGATCAATAAGTGACCAAAGTAGATCAAAATTCTTTCGCTTCTTGGCAGATATACACACACCAACGCAACGACGTTGTAAACTGACAACTGGATGCTTTCGGCTACCTTTATATGTAGGATCCACCTTCTTCATCGGCGCAAACACCTGGAAAGAGTTCTCCGTTGTCTTGGATACTTGGGCATCTGTTATTGGTGTGGACTCACTCAGACGCAACTGATCAATATCCCTCTCTTTATGTATCATATCAACGTTTAAGCCAGCTTCTCGAAGTCCTGCAAGAACCCTTGACACGGCCTCCCAAGCTTTCTGTGAATCGGAAAAGAGATCCATCTTATTCAAAACCACAATAAGTGGTCTGTCAACGTTCAACGCTACTTTAATCGTTTCGTAGGTCTGGCTCTGAACCCCCTCCACCACTGACACAACTAAAAGCAGACAGTCAGCAACAATCTGTGCGTGAAGGCGAGTTTCGGAAAATACACGTTGACCAGGCGTGTCAACAAAAGTTACGGGCATGGGGCCGCCTTCAACCGCAGGAACGGTGAAAGCTCGCACACACTGCGTCCTCCCCCTCGATTCTTCTAAACGAAAATTTGTATTTTGCAAAGCATCAAGGAGTGTGGTTTTCCCATGTTGGCTGTGCCCTACAACTGCGATAATTGGAATACGGGTGTGCTGGCGTGGAGATAAACGCCTTAAATAGTTAATGCCTGTTGACACAAACACATCTTTCTCAATCCACTGGAGAAACCTATTGTTTTCTTCTTTGTTAGAACCAGCAGCAATAGATGCCTCCTCCGCCTGCAACTCCGTAACACACATTCTCCTAATATCTTTTGGAAACCCGCTCATAATGATATTGGCCGCCAGTTGATAGGGGACAAGGCAGGTTACCAGGCGCTCGTCGCGTAGTTTGTGTTGTTCCCAAATCACACGTTCCACATCCTTCTCCTTTAAGTTCAGTAGGGTGTCTAAGCTTTTGTTGATTTTCTCACGTGCATGTGCATCGAAGAACCTAGAACGTTGAGTTGCATTTGCAGTCAGCGCTTCATTTACCAAGAAATTTGCAAGTCTGGCGGTGCGTGAACGAACAAAACCAACGAACGAACGTGCGTCCATAACAGACGGCAATGGATAAAATGCATCAGTTTTTCTCGGTAAGCAGGGGCGACAACGCCACATCTTCCTACCTCGCCTACGGAAGGAGCCAATAACAACAAAGTAGAAGGAGAAAGGTTTTAAAAAAAGAGGATTACTGGGATACCGCAGCATGAAGTTCACCTCTGATACATGATAGCTACTTCCACACCTTTCAAATATATATATATTTCGTTTCCCACCCCTAACTAATTCCCACAAAAATTTATTTCTTCTCCTAAGCCTTGAAGAAATAAGCGAAAGCAAAGTAGGGCACCAGTAGCTTCCAGCAAATGCTTACAATTCCATGATCGACCCATATGGTGTACAGCACCTTCTCACGGGACATGACGTAACTAGGGTGCGTGTAAAAAACGGTAGCTTCTTCGCCTCGTACTATTTTTTCTGCCAATGTGGCACAGGGATTTTCAACCTGCAATGAAGTAAAGGAACGGCTTTGCACGCGGCCGAGCGCGGTAAGGCGCGAAGCGTAAAAGCGGAGCATATAATTTCCTTCTTGAAACAGAAACTAACAAACATAAGAAATGGAGAATAAATATATATATTTATATATACCTATATATATTTATATATATATATATATATACATGTACGCAGCGGTGAAACTGAGACCCATTCATTTTTTTTTTTGAGGAGCGAAAAAAGAAAAGCTTCCACAAAACAGACCAAATCACGCCGCTGATCTAAAGTCCAAGACGAAAGTCGTTTCGTTTTCATTGTTAAGATTCGCGTGAATCTTAACCGGGCCATTAGGATACATTACTTGAATTGCACCTCTCAGAATACCAACTGCATATACCAAGACGTCTTTGTGACCAATCGAGTTGTCTATCCTATCTTTCGGAGAAATGGTAGATTCGTCCGAGTTTTCTAGGCCTTCGGAAACCCCAGAAGCATAAGTAGATACGGTGGAAATAGCCCGTTCTGTTCTTAGCTTTGAAAACCCCTCAAGCCACCTAAAATTGCTCTCGATAAGACAAAAGTAAATGTTATCCATGTGCTTCATTCGATCAGCCTTCTTACCAAACGCTGCCTTCCAAAATTGCTGTGCAATAAAGCGAGTAACATCGAGGGGAGTTAGCCCACCAATAGTTGCTTCACGATACAGGAGCCGCTCTGACAAACGGAGACCAACGAGCAGTCCTAGTCCCTCAATACTTTTACGAGTACTTAACTCCATCTCATTTTCTGTGGCATCAGATGAGTTGTCCTCTCCCTGACGAGCGTGACGGCCGATGACATACGAAACAAGCTCTACACTTAAGGTTGATGCCACGCTTTCACTCACTAAGTTCTGATGACTCATGATTTCACTATAGAGGAAAAAAAACAGCAACAAAAATGGATAATAATAATAATAATAATAACAAATCATAAAAGAAAAACAGAAGGATAAAAGAAGGAGACAGCAAAAATAGCGGTCCGTCAGAACGTCCGAAATTCTTTCCGTCATCACTCATTCTAAGAGAGACAATAGGATTGAAAGCAAAGAAACTATAGTGTTGTCTTTGGGAGTATCTCTGAGATGGTATACGGCCCTCCCTCAATGATACATCCTTCCTTTACATAAGGCAAAAGGGCGTCTTGAAGCGCCAAGAGGATATCCAGTCCCTCCACTACTCTTCCAAATGCAACGTGCCTCTTATCCAACGATTCGACCTCGACACGATCATCAGTTAGGCAAAAAAAGAACGACTCATCAAATGAAGTAGATGAACGACAGAGTGAAACTATTCCGACCCCATGATATATGCGTCCCACCTCGCTCTCTAACTCGGAAACAGAGGCAGTTCGAGAAGATGAACGCTCACCCACCTGGAGCCCCTCGTTTGTAAGGCGAACGAAGCGGTACTGCTTGCACGAAACCCGCTTGGCTCCCTTTTTGTCCCCGCCTAATGTGGCCGCGCAGCTCTGCAGAAATATATCGCAAGCCTTTGGTGCCCTATGCAGAAATAGTTCGATATCAATCCTCCCAAATCGGCCCTGGCCTTCTTTCTCAACGAAAACCGAGAAAACCGGCAAGTGATCATCTCCTGAACCTTCACGAAATTTATTGACTTTGGTTCCTCTTTTGGCTGGCATGTTCTAAAATTCTTGGAGATAGAAAATAATAATAATAATAATAATAATAATAATAACAATAATAATAAAGGATTGAAATCATGAGAGTGCACCATCCCCAAAATACTCAACTATAACATTCTGCCAACCACATACACACACACACACACACACAACAAACACACATAATCAATTGTACAATGACTACATGCATAATTTGATGTGCTAAATTACATCGCCATAACCACCTGAGATGCGCATACGTAATATCAGTACTTCAAAGGATCCTCAGCAGGATGGTTCAATTCTACATCTCGAGTTAACACTGGTATACTTCCAAACACTTTCACATATTCTCCAAGTGTAAAGCAAAAATCCTTCGCCAAATACGATCTGATCGACGACGTAAGAGGAAAAAGAAGAGGACGCGTCACTCTAACATTATCTAAGAACATTTTACGTTTATTTGTTGGCTCATTTGCCGCCAAAGAAGCCAACTCCATCAAGCGATGCACATCCGCTACAATCATTTCGGCAAACTCCTCATCAGTCTTTTCCTGAATACCTCCATCCTCGGTTATAGCAGGCACCTTGTCCACAAACCCAAAGAATGGTGTGGTTGGAGTAGGAACATCGTCAGTCAAAAACAGCACCTGAACATTTGAGCAATGAGCACTCTCTTTGTGTTCACAGTGATTGTGTAACAACTTTAGGTACTGTACAATATGTCTTTCGTACCCTTCGATTAGCTCAATGAAAACGTTCTCATAGTCAATAAGCACACCAGATGGCTTCATTGGCGAGTCATTATTCTCGCATAACGGATTTTCGCTGCTTTCCATAGCTGCATCAACCAGTTCTGACATCAGCACCCCAAGAGAATGAGCAGCGTTTTCGCTGCGTTCACCAGCAATGACAACTCGCAGGATAAAGGGATCCGCGTTCTCTCGATACATTGAGTGAAACTTCTTAAGCATAACCTCCAGTAAAGGCTCGCCTTCTGAAAACCCATTGGCTGTCTGAAGTTGTGGGTCACTGCCTACCCCATCTTGTTGTTTTTCTTGCTGTTTGCTCATGTTCGAAAGAAAGAAAAAACTATAATGACTACAAAAAATGGGGAAAAAATCAAACAAACATACAGAACAGTACATATCAACCATACAGCGATTCACGATTCACTGGCGTGAGGTTCTGTGCCCACAATAAAACCCCACCAAACCATATTGACAAAAGCATCTTAACAAAAGGAGACGAAACAATGTATTGCACTAACAGGAAATAAATTTCAAATAGTTGTACATGTCAGCAAATCCCTATCTCATTCAAAAGGCCTCTTTGAGCAAGCAGTGCTACACCATTAAACAAAGACAATCGAAAACAAAAACAACCCAACGGCATGCAGACCCACCAAAACGATCATCCGGGTTTTCCCCAAAAGGGCCCAATACACCAATCCGCACCACAAACGGGCACCATGCCCACATGCAAACGAAAAACAGCACGCAGCCCCGACAAGCAAAACACCCCGCCACATAAAGGCGGCCCTCTTCGAAAACAATGCCCCCCGGGCGCGCGTTTCTTGCGCGGCGGTCGTTTCCCTCGGTCTTGGCGGCGCTGTTTTCCCGCCCCGCGCCGCGGCCCGAAATCCGCAAACCGGGCCCAAACAAGGCCGACGTTAGCGAGGCCGGACTCTGCGCCACGTTCCCAAACGCGCCGGGGCGACCCCCGGCAACGAGACTAGGCCGCCGCCAACCCAAGCGGGC